ACCCACGCGACACAACAGCAACATCGGGTAGGGGAAATTTTCCCCTTCCTGACGATGCTGTTGGTTTGCGTGGGCGTTCTTCGGGTAGCGAGTAAAGGGCCCACAAACCATTTGTTTACAAATGGCTTTTGCGCCGTTTTCAAATGTTAGCACTGATGCGACCTATCTGGTCTCAATGGTGACACAGTGTAACCTTATTGTGTCGATCTAATATTACCAATTGGTTGAACTGTAACTGAGTTGACACACAATAGTGACCGAAAAGTTACGAATATTTTGACCTGTAAAATTCGCGTGGAAAAGTTGTTACGCTGAAACTTCTAGATAGAGCTGGAATTAGGTGCGTAACTGCTTTTGTAAACAATGACTTCTCTCGATGATTTCTACAAAATCAAGGATAGCCCACGTTATTTATTGGATTGCGTAGGCGTGCCTTGAATTCCTAGAAATCTTTAAGAGAAGACATTGTTTACAAAAGCTGTTACGCCCTAATTCCAGCTCTAGCTAGACTTTATTTTTATGACGAATATGTGACTTGACAACTATTGTGTGCCACATTACAATTACATTTTCGTTTCAGCGTGACCTTAACATTCGCACGTCTCCAGATGGTAACAAAAATGTAATCCCTATGATCTGGAAAAATTAAAGCTACACTGTAGCTCTATAATGTTTCACCAATCGCAATCTAATTGTTTGTTCATAATCCTTTTTTATTATTCAAATGGTAAAATATTTAATTAATGATGACTCTATTGCGAATGCTGAGCCTTAACTTAAGGACAAATTGATAGAAAAGAATTTTTATTCTAATCTCAAGTAATTTTTCATATCATGAAACTTTAAGTTAGAAGTATAACTCTCTAACTGAGTGTACACAGAAGAATTTTTTGTTCGAATCATATATGTGATGTGATGTGAATGGAGCCCACCATCAGTGCAAGGATTACCAATGTATGCAGATACTTTACCGGCTGTAAAGATCTGCCTGATGGTTTGTTGCAGCAGGGTGAATCAGCTTCATTGAAGACCTTTGGAAGACAAAACGACAAGATGGCAATCTGTAATCACGTGACATGGGACTGGCAAATCCACGAACCCTCGTCCAGTCAACAAATCCTTTGATTCCCTTAGGCTGATCCCCACCCCCCCCCCCCCCCCCCCACCCAACAATCATGCAAACAATCACTTCATACGCCGATTTCCCGCGACTAATTGCTTTTTATTTCGCAAACAAACTACCGTGGAAGCACCATATTTGACGCGGGTCCAAACTTGACGCACTTTCCAATCAATTCGATCATAACTCCTGTTTCGGTTTGAATTGCACCGAAATTGTAATTTTCTGTCCTTTGTTTACACTCATGCCACCCATTCATAACAAAAAACATACTTTGTTTATTGCTAATAAGAGCAATCAAAATCAAAACGAAAAAGCCATCTGTCAAATGCGTCATTTTTTTCTCATCTAGCAACAACGCTAAGGAGCAAGTTTAATGTTTATTGTTAGTTTTCACGCAGAAAATCAGTTTTTGTGTAATAATACGTTACTAACTATTAAACTGTAAGTATTTTTAACGTTTAACAGCTGATTCAGCAATATATAGTATGTTTAGAGCACATTATTTAACGAAAATGTTTTGCGTCAATTTAGGCTCACAGTGGCCCTTATTATTTTCTATGTGAAACATGGAGCCCAAGATGCCGAAAGCTTCACGTAGACGAGCTAATCCTCCTGCTGTCGCTACAAGCGACGAGTATAGAGCGTGGTTTGAAAGGATGGAAGCAGACAAACAGAAGGAAGAACAAATTCGAGCGGAGAAAAAGGCAGCCAGACACGGAACCAAATTTTGTTCATTTAAATCAAAAATATAAATGTTCATTCTATAAACATATGAATAATTCAAAATAAATTAAAAACATGTTTGCATCAAAAATATATATGTTTGAATTAAAGTCAAAAGCATGTTTATTTCAACAATATAGAATTTGGGTAAACGATTTTTAGCGTGCCCTGCCTTTTTTTCCTTCTTGTTTACATTCGGAAAAAAAATGCCCCAATCAACTGAAAACGGCCCGCAACAAAACCGAAGTCATGGATTCGGAAACCCACCTAGGTAAGTGTCTTAACAAAGTTCCGGCTCGATAAAACCGGAGGAACCCCAGCGGTATCGACGTCACTCTGTCGTTTCTGATGCCGATCCTGTATCATCCTCCTCCACAACTGACGTCGAAAGAAAAACGAAAATCCGAAATAGATTTTGAATCTATTCCGGATCCTCCAGCCCCCCCTCCTTAAACACCAAACGTAGAAAGAGGCCGGCATGAGGACCAGCGTTAGAAACGACAAAACGACGCTGATATCACAAAGTTTCACTGGTTTTACTGAACTGAAACTTCCGGACACTCACCCCGACGGGTCCCCGCATCTCGGACCAGGACCCAACATCCACAGCTTACCCTTAATCGCACCCGAAAAAGAGCAGGAGTTTAGATGCCTTGTCTGCAGATCGTTTTTTCATCTCTTTGCAATCCATTTTTTTGCTTTATGCTGCTAATATAATTTAAAATTAAGTATGTTTCTTTCAAACATAAGAAGCATGTTTAAAATAAACATATTTATTTTTGTTCACATACTTGTCAAACCAAACAAAAATATTCACGTTTATTTTCAACACGAATATTTTTAAAATAAACGTAACATTATTTTTGTTTTAAACATTAATATCACATGACTTCAAACATGGAATACGTTTGAAATAAACCTTGTTTATTTTTGTGGCCAGAACAAACTGAGTTTACGTTTAAATTTACCTGAAATATTTTTGTTTCAACGATAAATTTTTCTGCGTGGAGAAGCGAAGAAATTGGCCGCAGCAAAACGTCTTGAAAATAAACCTAAATCTGCTCCAAAGAAGATGAAATTGATTGTTTGATCTTTAATGATTTGTATATTTACCATATTTCATCAACCATTCAATAAACACTTGTTTTTTGTTGAAATTAAGCTATTTTTTTAAGTGCGTCAAATAAAGAACACCTTGCGTCAAATAAGGCACATTACAGATTCTATGCGTCAAGTTAGGAACCCAAAGTACCAAACAGAAATTTATTATAACATCAAGAAATTAACAGATATTTACGTTTTATTTATTTTTCCTACATTCTGTATTTACTGAACTATTACTGTGTAAAATATTGATTGAATTGGTAAGACTCTCATTTTTTAGAACATGTTTGAATTTGAAATTGTCTTAACTGCGTCAAGTATGGTGCTTCCACGGTATAACATCCGGTAGAAGAAACATTCATCTGTCTGATGTTGTTAGTTTGCATATGAGAGCTTTTGTTTGCGAGGAATCGGTAGTTAAAGCCATTGTTTACAAAAGCAATGCCGTTCTTTTGAAATGTTGATGATGTCCTGTCATTTAGAGTTTACATAAAATTTGCTGCCATTTTTTTTCTGAAATGTTACAACCATAAGAAATTTTGCTACTTTGAAATTATTCGAAGAAGGAAGTCCATCGTTCAGCATTTATATAACTATCACAAAAATCACATTACTCGTATTACCCTGATTCCAGGACATCCTGAAGGGAACTCTTTGAAAGCCTAGACATTTTCTTGAGATTGAATAATATGAAATAAATATGAATTAGCAAAATATCAGTGGAGTTGCATTGAACCTGTTGATATTGACAAGCAAATAAATTCATAAATATACTAACTAACCCATCCTGTCCCACCTTACCCTAACTACTACTAGTCATCAACAAACCCAGAATGACAGAGTATGTACTATTAAAAGTGACTCATACTGTACTATCTTCCGTGAGTAACAATCATAAGCTAGTGGAGGTGCAGATACCATCATCTCTAAACTCATTCAAATAGACAACATTTGAGTGGTGTACATGCACGCTTGGCGTGAAACGACAGTTCCAGGAAAAAAAAAGCATGCAAAATGATAACCAAACTCGCCAGCCAATTAAAGCCGTAGCTCGTAGACACTATAGACAAGTGTTTTTTTTTTCAATTCGTTTATTTTATATGCTTAAATGAAACCAGTGTTTTTCAACCATTTTTGTTCCATGACCCTCTATTTACCACTGTTCCCCTTCCAACAAAAAACATAGTCACATACAAGACAAATTAGACCAACTTACGTTACAATACATATTTACATACACTGTCTTAAAAATACTAGAGTCCATTGAAATGTAATGAAGTTTACGCATTTTCAAAGGTTCATACGTTTACGATGAGCTATGTAAAAAGCACAATTTTTGTAAATTAAAATTAAAGGTCAACGAGAAATACCTGAACCATTTCAGTTAGTATTTTAATCTTTGGAGCTGTGATTGAGTGTTCGTTTTCATTTACAACATTACAGAAAATTGCTGATCCGCACAGAAAAACTTGACGCAAAGGTAATTCCCCAATATTAACAAGGACTAAGTCCAAGAAGGCGACTCTAGCTAAGATACAGGAAAGAATTTGATTTGCTCTCGTGAAATGCGCGCGTGAAAAGAAAGAAGACTGTTGAAGATTTACAAGATTTGCAACTAATAACATTTCCTACTAAAAACTTAAAGTAACATGTTATATTTTTTCAAGCATTATTCCCCCCGAGGATGGTCAAATTCCCCCCTGGGGGAGAATAATTCCCCACCAGTTGAAAACCACTACCCTTGACGGTACGATACGGCGGGTAATACAAACACTCAGCGCACCCACACTGTCAACCGGGTTTCTTGTCCAAATATTAAACCACATGATAGATAACACATGGACAGCCCAATAATCAGCGTCCGAAGGAGGAGAATGATGACGAGCAGACAAGCTAACATCCCGTTATCACTTTTCGCTGCAAAACGTTATCTTTCTTGACGGGACTTACTTCCAACAGCTTTAATTGACTGAGTATCGCAATAAATTACGGGGTGAATCAAAATTGCGGATTTGATTTTACGATAATTAGCTTATCACTACCGACTTACCTCGTTACTATTTTGGGGATGCTACTTAGGAGTCCAGTCCCTTCGCCTTCCTCTTGATTCGTGCGTATGGTCCTATGGCCGGATCGGTGATGAAATCATACAGCACTTTGCTCCACGATTTGTGCTGCGGGATGGTATCGTAGAATTCCGGTGCGATTCGCTTCACTTCCGGAAGGTACCGACCGGGAACGGCCGGAAAGTCGTGATGTTCATTGTGATAGCCAACGTTGAATGTAATCCAATTCAGCGGTCCGTAGTAGGAGTAGGTTTCGAATCCCTTCGCAAACATGTAGTGTTCGGATATGAAATGGCCCGCAACCGGATGCATGCCCATCGCCATCAGGGATCCCGCCACTAGATAAATCATCACCTTCCAGCCGAAGAAATACACCACAATCGTATTGAATGTAAGCTGGATGATGGCATTTACAACCTCCAGTTTCTCCACTGGCTTCGGGTTAACAATCAGCGGTCGGAATATGTAGAACAGTGGCTGCATGCACACCCAAAGAAACTTCCCGAACGTGTTGCAAAATAGTTTCGCTTCCAGAAGAGTCGGCAAATCCGTATCGATTGTTTCGTCCCCCTGGTACCGGTGATGTTCCAAATGATATTTCTTGAAGCTCACCGACATGGGCAATCCGATCGGGAGGTTGCAGAAAAATCCAAACAGCCGGTTTGCCATCGGCCTTGCATGTCCAAACGCCAGATTGTGAGCAATCTCGTGACAGGCGAGCTCTAGCGAATGATTAATCACCCCTCCAAAGAAATATGCCACCAGGAAAATCATCTTCCACGATTGGTCCTTCATTATGAACAACATCGCAAACTGCGTTAGCACCATGGCACCAGCAACAAACTTGAACCGCGGATCATAACCGAAAAACTTCTTGATCTGCGGATACTTTTGCAGGATAATCTTCCTTCGGCTGGCGTGCGGTTCCTCGGTGTAACACCACTCGAAATCCGTTCTGGACACGTGCTGGCCCATTGTGGTCACTTCTTGATTGCTTGGGAAATATTCCCAAAATGAAAAAAAAAATCCGAATTTCACAACACTGGCTTCACGTAGAAAAGTGAAGACGCTCAAAAGTAAAAGTACACCGCCCCGGCTGCAGTATCGATGATACCGACCACCAATCCAAATCCAACAGCAGCTTTTCACCCGAAAAAACGAAAAAATAAAAATGATTAGCAACTTGCCGGACGGCACAAACGCTGCGAGACTACTACCACCAATGCAGCGGACGTCGACGTCTCGAATTTCAGCTGGGAAACTGAAGAAACCCGAAGCAAATGCATAGAATAGCGACGCGATAACCACTGAACTTGAAGCTGCACAAATACCACTATGATCCGCTACGGGCAGCGAGTCCAAATAAACGGTAATGAAAGTGCAAATACCACCGTTACGATTGTGTGTTGTGAGTTGTGACAGTGCCATGAATCAAGCTGGAGTCCATTTTGATTGGGTCGTATGTAACATTTCAGTGCCAACATTTCAAAGGGGCGTAATTGCATTTGTAAACAATGGCTTTAGCCATAGATTTCTTGCAAATAAAAGCTCACTCATGAAAAATAATAACACCACCAGGTAGAGGAATGTTTCCTCTACCAGCTAGCATTGTAATTTTGGAGAGGTAAGATATCATTCGCGAGAAATTGACGACTAAAGTCATTGTTTACAAAAGCAATTACGCCCCTTTGAAATGTTGACACTGATTTGTGTCAATTTAGAGAAACTGGCATCAACATTTCAAAAGGGCGAAACTAACAATGATGTCGAACTGTGAAAAACGCTGTCAAAGTTTTCGAAGCGAACAAATGGATTTATTTCAAATCAGTAAGCAGTGCAGGTCTATTATTTGCACCGTTCAGCTTGAGTTGACCCTTGTTAATCAGTTCATAGTAGTTTCTATGTTTATTTTGTGTTTTAAGTCTTAAAAATCCTCAACATTAGATTTTGCCCTTTATCGTAATCAAATGTCCTTTTGTTTTTGTACCTTTTATTTGACAAACTGTCAATTTGGCTCCACTGACAGTGCCTAATTTTTAATCGTTTGTTTGGGACCAATAGGCTAGTCAAGTAGTTAGCCAATTTAAAATCGTTAGTTTCGTATTGATTGTTGGTCCATAGGTCCTATAAGAATGCATAAAAGATATCAGGCATAACATTTGATAACGGCACAAAAGCATTTGTAAACAAACTTTCTAAGGCCCTTTACACGCAAACCAAAGTACGCTCACGCAAACCAATACCACTTTCGGAAAGGTGATAGTTGCCCCTATCCGATGATGTTGTTGGTTTGCGTAGGCGTACTTTGGTTGGCGTGTAAAGGGCCTTAGAAAGTTTGTTTACAAATGCTTTTGTGCCGTTATCAAATGTTATGCCTGATATGTGTGACCGCTTATACATTACATTTGACACATCATCTTCATTAACTTTTTGCAAGGCGTCTGCTTATAAGTTGACTTATACAGTTTATGAATAATCAGCAATAGAAATTTTCCAAAAGGTATAAGGAGATTTCTATCCGTGTACTATCTTCGGTTCCAAGCTAATCGATGCGCCCCTCGAAACATTGGAAAATCCACGAACCCCTCATTTTATTTGTCAAAATTTCATATTGAATCAAAACAAACATTGTGTAGTACTAGAATTTCAACTAGAATGGAGTACGTTAATCGATTTGCTTGGGACCAATAGGCTAGTCAAGTAGTGAGCCAATTTGAAATCGTTAGTTTTCACCGGTTGCTACTACCATAGAGGTAACTCTAAGACCACTGGGTCCCGAAGAAAATCATTATTATTTTTGGCTCACTCAGTACCAGAACAACGGTCCCAAGCAGTCCCAAGCTATTTCACTCACCCCTGCATGTTCTGCATGAATCCACACACCCCTGATGTTATCTGTCAAACTTTCATAGCGAATCAAAACAAACATAGTGTAGTAATAGAATTTCAACTAGAATAGGGTACGTTAATCGTTTGCTTGGGACCAATAGGCTACTAAAGTGGTGAGCCAATTTAAAATCGTTAGTTTCGTATTGATTGTTGCTACTACCACAAACGAAGTGACAGACGACTAACTGGCGAAGAAATCCATTAAAATAATGTGGTTCACTGTAATAGAATTTTCTTGGAACCTTGTGCCATCATCCACCAGATGGGTTAGTTTTTTTGTTTTGATTTGAACAAAGTTGATTTTGTGTACAATGATTCTTTGACAGTGTGCAAAGAGTGTATTATTTTGTCATTTTTTGTATGCATTTCAGTTTTGAGTAGAGTGAAAGAGATAGAACCAAAACATTCTAATACATTTGATGAAAATGCTAGTACAATCCAGTAGTAGTGTTGCCATGTGGTACGATCTAGTAGTAGTGGTGTTGCCATGTGGTACACTGAAAAATTGCAATAGCAGGTTAGTCACCAAAGTTTTCGAGCCGCTCCGTCTGTCACTTCGTTTGTGCTACTACTGCAATGTGGCAGCACTAAATGTACTAGAATATTTTGGTTCTATCTCTTTCACTCTGCTCAAAACTGCAAAAATGCACAAAAAAAATGACAAAATGATACACTCTATGCACACTGTCAAAGATCATTGCACACAAAATCAACTTTGTTCAAATCAAAACAAAAAAAAAACCCATCTGGTGGAAGGTCCCGAAGAAACGTGCTCAACTTGTTGGCTCAGCTCTGGTACTCTCTTCGGTCCCAATCTAATCGATTCACCCCTCGAAAAATCCCCTAACCCCTCATTTTATCTGTCAAATTTTCATAGCGAATCAAAACAAAGTACTGGAATTTATACTAGAAGGGGGTACGTTAGTCAATTTGCTTGGGACCAATAGGCTAGTCAAGTAGCGAGCCAATTTAAAATCATTAGTTTCGTATTGATTGTTGGTATAAGGCTGATGTTTTGGCAAAAATGTATAAGTGAAACACATAAATAAAATAATTGGTTTTCGTTTCGTGTAGAAAGGATCAAATAAATTATGATGATTGCGTTGGTTTTATGTTTGTTTCATCCATAAAAAAATCAGCTGATCCTGTTGTACGTCGATACCAGTGAATTGACCCAGTGGCTGCTGGTTTTCCGTTTGTGACGATTGATGGACAAGATTCATGATTTTTAATTTTGGAACCGCGAAGACAACATAACCGAATTGGGTCCTGGGGTTTCCAATCTTAAGGTGATTTGAGTTGTGGGAAATCTCGTAATATTCATTTTAGAATAATGTATTTTAGCAACTACAACTATAGAAATGCATAGATGCAGTACTCTGGGAGATTTTTTCCACCGCTGTAAACACTATGGCTACGTGACTATGTTATACATAAAAAAAAACACTAAAATGACAAAAAATACGGAAAACAACAATTAGGCCACAACCCTAATAAAAATAACCATAAAAGAGAGCTTAACGACGTGTTTGAGGTATCATCCAAACCATTTGTGGGATAGTTTACCCATCCGGGATACAGTTCGTTTAAGGTATTTGTTTATTAGGGAATTCAAACCTGTTTGCGAACAAACTGAGGGGCGAAATTATCTTCACTCTAGTAAACTACAAAAAATCAGTTACGTTTTTTTGTTGATGTTACATGGGTGACAAAATATGTTTTTTTTTAAATGTTATGAAATTGTTCACTTGCTGTCCATTTCTATAAACAAAAACAAAAGTTTGTTTACATTTGGCAGTTTCGCCCTTTTGTTGGTACTGAAACAATATGTTCGGAACTAGAAATAGAGATCTCTAAGCGCAATCTCACGAACACTAAAGTCCAACATCCATATATAAAATGAAGAAAAAGAAGAACAAAAAAGGTATCGCGATATCACAACTACTTAAAAAGGTAGCACGTGGTCTCACGCACACTTTTGTGCATCTGGAGATCTCTATACTCAGAGGGAGAGATGGGTGGAGAGAATGTTTTGAGCTAAATGAACTGTCAAAATCTGAGACAATCGAACATTCCCATTAAAAATTTGCTTATTCTTACTAGAATAAATTTGAGAGTATTGCAATCGAACAGAAATTCAATCACGTTTATGTTTTGTGTGCTTCTCAAATTCAACTAGTATTTGGAATCAAAATGTATTTTTAATTGATCTTCGCCGGTTAACGAATGGCACCAAGAAATGTGCAAAATATTGCGATGCAATCAATTATTATTTTGCACCTAAATCGAATCAAAAATACAAGTCATTTGAAATGCTAGCTTCTAGCAAGGGTTGCAAGATAATTTAGGAAAAAATCCCTGCTGCCGAATTGTATTTTGTTTTCTCCGCCTATCTCTCCCTCTGAGTATTTCTATTCGGAACACAGCCTCAGAATGGCTTTACTTCTTTTTTACATAGCTTCCAATAAGTGTGTTCCGTGATTGTACCTGAATATATTTAATACTTTGGTACCTGAAAACAACCGAAAAGTCTCCTGAAAGCTTCGCGTTCATTCATAAACTTTTGTAGAAAATTAGACTCAAAACAAAAACGGTTAAATAGTCCGCCCACTTTTTCGTGGTCCGTTTGAGCGAGCCGTGATCGTAAACACTGTGCATTTCTAGTCAGAACCACGATAGAACCATGTTATTCGTCAAACTATCCACCCTTTTCACCTATATATTTTACTTGCTGGGCACCGCCCTTCTGTGCGGTATACTGAATGGATCTTACTGTTTCTACGAGTGGTACCATTCGACACGGTTCCCATCGAAGCAACGTTACGAGTTCATCATAGTGGGATCCGGCACGGCTAGTTCCACTATCGCTTCCGGTATACCTTCCACGGATGTACTGATTTTGGAGGCAGGTTCCATGCGATCGGGATTGATGGATATTCCGCTGCTGCAACCACTACTACAGGGTACGAACTATGATTGGCGTTATCAGACGGAATCGCAGGACGCTGCCTGCATGGGTTTGAACGATCGGAAAAGCAACTGGCCCATGGGGCGGGTGTTCGGAGGAACAGACATGTTCAACAATATGGTGTATTACAGGGCTCAGAGGGGAGATTTCCGTGAGTGGTTTGATGGAGATGGTGACCTGGATGCATTTATGGAGGGGTTTGAATGCGGAACGGATGTCGACGAGTTGAGTTTTGGAACCGATCTTGGCGGAGCGTTTATCAAGGCAGCTGGAGAAGCTGGGCTAGAGGAGGAGTTGTTTTACAGGCCAAATGTGAGCATGAGCGGCGGGAGGCGATGGACGATGAGCCATCGTTATTGGAAGCAATCTCGGGAGGGGCACGAGTTGATTTTGAATGCTCTTGTGACGAAGGTCACCATTGAGGGTCGACAAGCGATGGGTATAGATATGCGGAAAAATGGCAAAGATTTACACGTGATGGCTTCCAAGGGAATTATTCTGGCAGCTGGAACGATTGGAAGTGCCAAGATTCTTCTGCATAGTGGTGTTGGACCTTCAGAACATTTGGAAGAGAAGGGTGTAGATCAAGTAGTGGATTTGAAAGTGGGAGAAAATTTGCAGGATCATGTTACAACCGGAATGGATTTGGTTCTACTTTCAAACCAACTTCCTCTGCGAGCATGGAATCTTGTGAATCCAATGAATGTCGGAAGATACTTGTTTGCTGATGGACGAAACTCTTCGCTAGCCTTCGGAGGCTGTGAATGTCTTGGATTCGTTAGTTTCGATTCGAATTTTACTCACTCACTTGGGTTTATGGTCCTCCCGGTAGGAATAACCATCGATACAGGCCACCATCTGCATGATTTGATCAACCTCCGGGAAGATATTTGGAACCTATACTTTCGGCCTTTGGTAGAACGAGGTCAACAATCAGTCACTATTCTACCGATTCTTTTGCATCCCAAGAGCAAGGGATTCATTCGGCTGCGTGACTCAAATCCACATTCCAGTCCCTTAATTCAACCCAATTACCTACAAGAGCAAGAGGACATTCAGACCCTTATTACAGGGCTCAAAATACTGCAGCAAATTTTGGATCAACCAGCGATGAGAGCGCTGGGAGCGGAGCTCAATCCAAAACTCTTCCCGGGATGCGAGCAGCACCCATTCGGAAGCGACTCCTACTGGGAGTGCTACATTCGAGCGCTAACGTTGACGCTCTATCATCCGGTGGGAACGTGTCGCATGGGCCCTGAAAGCGATCCGCACGCTGTTGTGTCAAACAAAGACTTCAAGGTTCATCAGCTGGACAACCTGTACGTCGTTGATGGATCGATAATGCCAAATTTACCGAGTGGTAACCCCAATTCGGTTATCATCGCCCTAGCCAAGTACTTCCTTAGAGTGAGATTCTCAGTTAAATAAATGTAAATATAGTTGGACGTTCTCTAAAACAAATCTTTGTTTTCACATGCCAGAATTCAAATTTATTCGTGCGTAAAGCTTTCACACCAAAAAAGCGGATTTCAATCCTTAAAACGTTGACTTACAAAAGCAACAATTCAATCCAAAAATACTCCAGTCCTTCGAGAACCAGTATTCTAAAGCAATTACCTTCTTCCAGTGTCTCCGAGATCCTTTTCGTTCGATAAATGGCCGTATCATACGAGCTAGCAAGCACAGACTTCCATGGTATTAGATTTCCAAGTTAGGAACACACAATCATCTACTGCGTTGGAACCAGGCCCAGCAGAGTGAAGCGTACTTCATTCGGATCACGGGCAATGTACTGCTTACAAACTGCGATCGCATCCTTCAGCAGATTTTCCGGCGTAGTTTCGCCATGCTCGACGGGGAAATTCTTCCGTCCGTCCAGTTCGTATAGTTTGCCTTCGTGATGAACGAATGCAATGAAATGATGGTAGACTTTCTCGTTGATATCCGGCGCCGCCGTTTGACCCTCGTTGGCAATGCTTTCGTGCGTCTCGATAAAACCGGTATCGTTTTCCAGCAGCTTGCCGCGCTCTTCCGGAGTCATATTCTTGCCAGCATCAAAGTACTTCTTGATCACGCTACCTTCCTCCAGTTCAATGTCCGAATTGTTCAACAAGGCATGAGCCAAGGCAATCGTTCCGCAGGCATTGTGCACATACTGGCGCATATAGAACAGGCTCTTGGGGTGCTCGATGTTTTTCGCTTTCAGCTCGGCATCCTCCTTGGCGCGGAACTCCTCATACTAGAAAAAAAGCTCATGTATTTCAACAAAATCAAAAGCAACTCCCCAGAGCATTACTTACGGCATCTGAGCAGGGAAATAAGAAAATCAACGACTTGAGCGGACTTGGTACAAAAGCCAGCAACTCATCGTCCATACCGTATATATCGACGATATTCCACAGCGGCGAAACGCCAAGTTTTCCGAGGTATTTGTTCAACACCTTTAAAGGTACACAATCGATTATTGTCTCTTCACATGGATTATTAATTCCGTCGTGAAAATAGGGGCTACTCACCTCCGGATTGGATTCCAATGGCAGCCAAGTGGTCATGATCGATGCGATGATTGTTTCACACTTCTCAGCGACTGATTATAGAATTTTTCGCGAATTCGCTTGTAGGAACTGAGGTGTGTGTGTATGTAGTGAATTTAATTTAATTTTTCCGCTCTAACCTAATTTAATGCCAGAACGATGAGTAAAAGCTAGTAAAAGAAAAACGCTGGCGCTGTAGGGATTCTTTGTTCAATAGAGGATAAAACTGGAAAAGTTACTAATCACCAGAGATGCCAGATTTTTTGTATGCAATTCCGTAGACTTATTCGAATCTACGGATTTCTACGGATTTGTTTTTGGTCGAAGGTGATAGTTTTTTTTTTAGTTCTAATGTGATATTTTACGTTAAGTGATAGAACGATGAAAGAATTTTTTGAAAAACTACTAGGGACATCCCTCTGGGGTTGTACGCAATGGTGACGTCGGACTACGTGGTCTTATATAATAAATGTTATTTGTTAACTGCAGCAGGACTTGTGTTTTGTGTAGGAATAGGAATTTGAGCGGGATTCTCTCTGTTTATACTCTTTAGTATGACTATGATTGCCCTGAAAAGAAGCTTTTGATATTTAACTCTTTTGAAAATCTTTGTGGCCCTGAAAATGGCCGATGGTAGTACAGACATGAATTCCATGATACTGTTGCACCTGTAGTTTTTGGCATACTTTGACTGATTGCTTCGCGGGAATCCTTGTTCAGCCATAGCAAGATGTGCGCATGAGGACTTCCACGGTGCTGAAATTCAATCGTGTCAACCAGCTTGTTGAATTACACACACCACGAGACTGGATCATCATTGACCAGAGTTACTCTTTGTAGTGCAGTCAATTCCTGGATAGGATATGTTAAGTCATTGCCATTGTGTCCTTCTGACAATCGATGTAGGAGATTCAATAAATGAGGCCTCATCATCTCATTTGCACTAAGTGTGAGGAACATCGTAGGTTTTCCCAATTGTCACATCATGATGATCAAATTTATCTTCCTTTGTTGCCAATAGGGTAAACGCTCCTATAGTTGCGGTACAATAGAATCGTTAGGTTCCTATAGTTGTGTATTGAGTCTCTGCATGCTCTGATGCACAACTATAGGAACCTAACGCTTCTAACGTACCGCAACTGTAGGAGCGTTTCCCCTACTGTACTGAATCCGGTATTGATTTGAGGAAGGATAGTTTTCGCTCAATGCACTGCTCCATGAATAAGGCGGTCCTCAAGGTTGACACATGTAATGTTAGCGGCATGCCCCCGTGCACTTAAAAGTACATTGCAAGCCTTCGGAAACTCTAAGGCGTAGAACTTTCATTGTCATATACAACAAATGTTGTGGTTTGGCCACACGCCTGTCTTGACGACGAGTTTCACTGGATGCCATCATGAAATATGTCATCCGAACCTCTGGCTTGAATTTCCGTAGATGGCCGAAACATATTGACGAGTGCACGGATGAATTTGAGTTCACTCACTCGACAAAAAGTGACACAACAGCGGGGCCCTGTTTACTAAAAATGAACATATATGTGTTCATTTTTAGTAAACAGGGCCCCGCTGTTGTGTCACTTTTTGTCGAGTGAGTGAACTCAAATCCATCCGTGCACTCGTCAATGGTAGGAAAAGCTATCTCGCCGTGCTCGTCATAGGGTATACGTCCCTAACCTCGGTCTAATATGCAGCCATCGATTACGTTTTTAATCATAACTCATCAATGAATTTACCTGCAAACGATATTCTACTGCTAAATGGTATGCTTAGATATGCTTATCATGTCGTTTGCTATCAGAAACCACGAAAAGTTGAAAAACTTACTTTTTTTAAGACAATAACTCACGAGGGAAATGTATGTAATATGGGTCTATTGTCCCCAAATTGGGTCTATTTATGGATGCAACTTCGTCCTATCTTGTTTGATCCTCAAAAAAACGCTCTTGGTAACGTTTTCTGATGTATTTTTTTTTATCACTATCACTGTTAACTTAATGCTCTTCATTCCTCAAAACATTTCTTAGAGAAAATTTTACGAAAACTACATTAAATCACTCAATTTAAAAATTAAAAATTAAAAATTTCGCTTATCGTCTTTTGACCGCAGAATATCTAAATCAGAACATTGTGATGTTCATTATACAGGTTTGGCAGAAAAAATCTCCCTTCCTGTTCGTTCCTTATCATCCAAATGCAAAACAACATTGTTGACGTTACTCTTATTGCTATATGCTGTCAAATGAATTTCATGGGCCATAGTTAGGAACATAGAAAAGAAATGTGTCCCTAAAGTTGGGTCCATGTTTTACTTGTGAAAACGTTGTTAAACAATTAAAATAAACATAAAATATTCAAACAGCAACTGTAAGTTTTACGTCTAGTGTGTATTATCAGGTAATTCCAATCAATAAATGCCATAATCAGGCCATTTGATGATCGTCAGTCAACCTTCCCATCTTAACCTTATAAGTCATGGCGGCTAAAAACTCCGAACATTGTGATATTCTCAACCAGTTTTATTACTTACGAGAGCTGAAAATGTATTGAAATGTTGTGATATAAATTGATTTGTGTGTGGTACACATTTATCAACCATCAGTGATCAATATTTTCCTTATTTTTTGTGTAATATTCCTTAATTAATTATTTATTTGCGTGATAGGCCGAATGAAAGGACTAGACCCACATTACATACCGTAACCCTATATTAATGACAGATGAACCCTGGTTTGCACGGTAGCGATCTCCATGCATTTGTCCTCATTCCAAAGGAGCGTTTCCTGTTGCCCAAGCAGCAATTCTGTCTCATTATCCACGGCAATGGTTTGCAGCTCAATTTGAGGATCCACTGCAAGGGTTTCAAGACCATCTATGGCGATCTGATCAATTGTGATCCCGTAGCGGCGGTACAGTCGTGTCGTAATCTTATAAGAAAGCTACGTTTTAACCGTAGTTTCCTTTATAAAACCGGACAAGTACGACGACTTATGGATTATGGAACAACATTCGAGCAAAAAGAAAATTATCAAATAACTATCATATGACATGTGTGATTTCGTTCAAATTACTCAATTTGGTGTAAATTAAACCATTTCTGATCAGAAATGTTATTACTAGGACATCGTTGCTTGCTATTTTCAGAATTCATACAAGCACAACATCAGCAGCTCTTATTATGAGAAAAACTAAAATACATGTATTCGTGGCGGCCTTCGGCGACAGTGTCGTACGACAGAGCCTGCTGTATAACATTTTCAAGAGATAGTACGAAGGCCGCCATGTTTCACGCACAGTCTGACGTTTGCTTACGGGATATTTCATAGGAGAGAAGAGCTACAGAGTCGCCGTCAACGCCAATTCTATCAAAAAGCGGATAAGTGAGCAAGAAAACGGTTGACAAGTTGCAAGGGTGTATTTTACTTTATGCTTCTTTCCCTTCAGAATCAGATTATACTCTAGATTGTAAAATTCGATTCTGAAGGGAGACGTAGAAACTGTACCAAATTCCGTAGATTTTGCCTACGGATCCGTATTTCCGCAAAAAATTGTAAAATCCGTAGATCTACGGAGATTTCCGTAGATCTGGCATCTCTGCTAATCACACCCACAACAACCGGCAAACAGAAAAAAGAGAATATCGAAAACCGATGAAGCAAACCTCGGTGCAAACCGCAGCCGAAGCCGATGCATGAACCATGGATTACCGTAAGCTGTCAGTTTTGATCTCACATACTGACAGCATAGCACCACGTTCCTATATGGGCACAGAGAACAGACGTCCAACTGCCGTCAGAAACTTGTGTAAAGATAAGTGGGAACATCGCCGTTACGTGGCGCTAGCAACTCCTGATTTCCTCTATAAATTTTCCACTTGCGATCAATTTGGCGCTTCTGTTGAAAATTGCCACTCGCACTTAGACACTTGGTGTAAGTTGCCAGCGCCCGAGCCAGCGCCACCATGTAGTCAAACACACAGAAAAAAACTATCGTCGAAACAAAAATATTTGAGGTAAATTTAAACGTAAGCTCAGTTTGTTCTGGCTACAAAAAATAATTAGGTTCGCGGCGAATGAGAACGACCCAAATTTGAGTTTAGTTCCTGCACTTTTGGCGATTATGAGTGAACTAAACTCAAATTTGGATCGTTCTCATTCGCCGTGTTGATTTCAAGCCTATTACGTGTTTGAAGTCATGTAAAATCAATGATTAAAATAAAAATAATGTTACGTTTATTTTAAAAATATTCGTGTTGAAAATAAACGTATATGGTTTTGTTTGGTTTGAAAGATATGCGAACAAAAATAAATATGTTTATTTTAAACATGCTTCTTATGTTTAAAACAACCCCTGAGTATCTAGACAGAAAACCTTATAGCGAATTCGTTTATTATTCAGTTCCAACCTGGGTCGGGTATCAAGATTGGGTCTGCTTGTTTTCTGACTAACGTCAGTTTGCTCGTTTGTTTTTAAAACCTAGCTCAGGTTGAGGTTCACACTGACAAAAAGTTCGGTTTCGCACTGGGTTGGAACTGGTTCCAACCCCGATAATAGAGTTATCTACCACCGTTAGTATTAGTCAGCAGTTTCACTCATACAAGCGTTTTACTGGTTGAAAATAACAAACAAACCGCTGTCAAGTCAAACACTTTGACAGCTGATTTCGTGGTTGAAAATAATAAACAAATCGATTTTACACGGCTACACTAGCGACGTTGTATTGGTGAAATCTTGCGACAAGAAGTCAATAAACGAATTCGCTATTAGTTTCACGTACCCACTTACAAATTGTAGATGTCTCCACCGTACGTAAACAATGGGGTCAGCCATCGTTGGTGGCACAACTTTTTTCACATCAGAAAATATGTTTTTGTTTCACTTCATGTGGTCGTCGAACTCAAGCCAAGAATAAATTATCAGTGAGACGTATTACTGATGTTGCATTGTTTTCCTCATATAGATCCTTATATAAGGTTGGAATTTAATCGATTTGATGAAAATTTGAAAAATTCATTATTTGGCATGATAAGTTTTGATTCAATTCCCCGGGGGCATCTGGGACATGCCCGAAACTGACAAATGTGGTCCGCGGCGCTCGAAATGGCCACGATTCATTTGGTTATCATATTTTGAAGTTATTTGTTTTGTCACATGATAGGTTTTATTCCTTGCCGGACAAATTTAGTATCATGGTTCACATTCTCCGGAACATGTTCCTACCACATT